CCTCCTCCTCCTCTTCCTTTCCTCTTCCTCCTTCCTTCCTTCTTCCTCCTCCTCCTTCCTTCCTTCTTCCTCCTCCTCCTTCCTTCTTCATCCTCTTCCTTCCTTCCTTCTTCCTCCTCCTCCTTCCTTCCTTCTTCCTCCTCCTCCTTCCTTCCTTTTTACTCCTCCTTCCTTCCTTCTTTCCTTCCTTCCTTCCTTTTTTCTTTCTTTCTCCTTTTTATTTTTGGTCCTGGGGTTTCAACCCAGAGCACTCTACCACTGAGCTGCATCCCCATCCCTAGTTTTATTTTCTATTTTGAGACAGAATCTCATTAAATTGCTGAGGGCCTTGTATAATTGTTGAGGCTGGCTTTGAACTTGTGATCCTCCTGTTTCAGCCTCCTGGGTTGCTGGGATCACAGGCATGAGCCGCATCACCCAGCTCCTCTTCTTAAATACTAAAGGGAAGTGGCTGTGGACTCTGATGCTGGGTGACCTTGGGCAATTTAGCCTTCCTGATCTCAGAGAATTTTAAAAGTACTGTGGGTATTTGGTGGGGGGTGGGGAGACACTGTGTAAAGTCCTATGAACATCTTAATTTATAGGATTGGATTTAGGATACCACACATCTTAACTTCAGTAGTGGTAGGATGAACTTGCATGTTCCTACAGACAGATATCCTGCCTTTGACAGTTGGAGTTTGAGGGTCACAGAAATGGGAGCTGTTTGGTGGGACAACAGACTTTATAGCCACGTTGCTTTCTCCCTCCTTCCAGTTAGTAAGAGGGAAAGGAAAACAGTCTGTGGTTAGTTTGTCCACTGAAAATGTGGGTGGGTCACGTGGCAGGTGACTTAAGTCCATCTTCATCTACCCCAGGGTTCTCGGCCACTGTGCTTTGAACACTGTGGTGGTTGGTGGACTGTGCTGTGCCCTGCAAGGTGTTGAGTGGTATCCCTGGCCCCTCTCTGCTAGCTGCCAGGAGCACCCCTCCAAGTTGTGACAACAGGGTCACCACATGTTACCAAATGTCCTTCAGAGTATAAACCCTGGCCCTTTGCTTAGCCCCGCTAGTGAAACCCCTAGGCTGAGGTTCTCCCTTGGAAGGCCACAGAGAACCCTGGGCCTTGGCCTTTGATAGTTTATCATGGGGCTTTTATTTGAAGACTTGGTCTACACATATATGTGTAATGATGAATAGGAAGTACAATGTGGCTAAAAACCTTTTAGAGATTGACAAACTCAGAATTGTTGTTTCAAATAATTTTAAACTAGCATAAATTGATATTTACCTGAAAAGAGAGAAGACTTCTCTGGTGAAGGACTCCTTTATTCTTGCCCATTGTTCCCAGTTTGTGCCCTGCCCAGTTGACTTCATGACCAATGCTGTCCAAAGAAGCCAGGAGAAAAGGGGCTGCTATGCCTGGGAGGGACTGACATCCGGGAGGGCCATGCTGCCTGGGAGCAGCGTAGGGGGGCTGACTGACCTTGCAGGCCAGGCTGTGAGAGGCGAAGTGAGCAGAGACCAGGAGGCGGCTGGTGTGGTGCTGGATGGTGGGCTAGGTGCAGTTGTTCTTGTGGGATTCAGAACAGTCACAGGCTGAAAGTGGTCGCTGCAATGTAGACCAGCAGGGAGAGGACCCTGTTTGTCTCTGAGACTCCAGCGCCGAGCACCACTCAGTGTGCAGGCTGCTCCTAGTGTTTCTTGAAGGGTGGAGGAAACCTGTGAGAAGGGACAGAGCAGGGCTGGTCCACTCAAGGGCCTGGGGAGGGCAGTGGGCTTGCAGTGCGGGTGGGGAAGGAACAGGGTGGGGCCAGAGCGACCACGGTGGCGGTGCTCCTGCCTCGGCAGCAGGTGTGTGTTGGAGGTCTCCCACGGGCCAGGGCCAGTCTAGGCACTTCCCTTACATTTAAGCTTAATCATGATAGTTCAAAAAATCTGAAGGGCATGGTGTATGAGACAAAAGAAAGCTGAAATAAACACCCTGACAGACGGCTGCTTCACGCGTGGGCCTTGATTCCCACACTGCTCCTGTTCCTCTCCTGCCGCCKCCTCCTCCCTGCAGAGGTGATGGTCACACAGGATCCCCCACCCACTTCACTCACCCCCTGTCTTCTCTAGGCTTTCTCTTGGGATTGGGTTTTCATTTTGGCAAATAGCTCCTTGTGTCAATTGCTGAGCTTTCTCTTGCATGGAGGAGACATTTACTGAGCCTGATAAGATCCAAAAGTGTTTTTTCAGATATCTGAAATAACACAAAGCAAGACTTACCAACATGTCACCGTCCCAAGCTTTAGGTCAGTCGGAGTGTTCTCTTCTCTGGTGCAAGTGAGATCTCTTTGAAAKAAGCAGTTGTGTAGAAAACTCAGGATCTCCTTGGGGCAAAGCCCAGAGCCCATGCGCAGCTGTGGGAGGAGCACGGTGACTGAGTCGTCTTCCCTGCATTTGGATGATTGCTTTCCATCTTGTTTCTTCAGGAGAACCCATTAGCAGTGAGCACTTTCATCGAGCTGTCAATGTGAATGATGAAGATTTGCTTGTTCAAATACTTGAAGGAGGGTGAGAGAACTCTGCCAGCTTATTTTTTAAAAATATATGAAGTGCATAGAAATATGTGATATAGCTTTATTTTATTTTCCTAAAAATTCCATGCCATTCAAACTGCCTTCCAAATTGATCTCAGTTGCCTGGTGTGAGTTAAAGCATAGTCAATAGAGCCGATCATGAAGTCCCATATCAGTGTCATAGTCATAATTACCTTTTACAATTTTCATTAAAAAGTCTGGGTGTTATATTTATTCCCCGAAATAATTTCTGTCCCTTGTTTATATGCTATAGCATTTAGGCAAATTTTACTCCAAAAATACTCGCCCCTAATTCTGATGAGACTAGGGCATCACTAAATGAGCTGCGTTCTAATTGAGGAGGTTGGTAGGACACTGGAGAAAGATGGTGGGCACAGCTGCTGCGGATGAGAGGCGTGAAGCTGCCTCCCAAATGCAAAGACGTGATCTAGGTTCCTTTTTAGTCAGTAAATTTTTGAGCTACTTATGTGATGAGTGGTTTGTGAATTGGGGCTCTGTGAGTTGGAGCAGAGAAGGTTCCTACAGAAAGCCAAGCTTCTGAGCTGACAGTAAGAGCTCTGCTTTCCTCCGACAACACTGATTTATATCCCGTAGGTGAGGTGGAAGTCGAGGGTCAACCTTGGGTCCCCACCAATATGGGCTTGTGGTTGGGAGAGCTACGGAAGTCTGCAGTGAAGACACTGTCCCCTGCCACCTTCAAGAGGCTGTGTCTGTCATAGTTGTCCACGGCACCATGGCTTGAATTGAAGGGAATGTCCATTTTATGTGAACTTACAATCTTTCTTATAAATTTGAATATCTAAGAATATTAGGCAGGGCATTCTAAACCATAAAAACTTGATGGCCCAAAAGAAATGGGGATTTTTGATAAAATGAGCCATTGTAGCCTCCTGTGCCTTGCAAGTGTCACCAGCTACAAATCTACACGGAGCTGCACTAAGCACATTGATCTCTTTTCTGTTTTTTTCTCAAGCCATGTCAAGGTTGATGTTCCCAATAAGTTTGGCTTTACTGCTCTGATGGTTGCTGCCCAGAAAGGATATACCAGGTAGGGCACTTTGCTCATCCCTTCCCCCAGAGGCGCCAGTCAGGATGGGGATGGAAGGGAGTGGGTCCAGGGAACCTAGCTGCTTTTCTCTTTCCCAAATGGATCCCTCTGAATTCAGCTGCTTGTATCATAAAGCTATATAGCATGCAGGAGAGAACATCAGGTGTGTGGTTGTGTATTAGGGAAGAGAGGAGCCAATTAATTCTGTGCAATTTATCTTATATCTCCTGGGAATACTGGCTATTGGAATTTGAATTTCTTTAAAGCAATTTAAAAAGGATAGGTGAGGAACATTTTGGAAAACAAATTTCCCTGGTAGGTGCCAAGATATGATTTTGGTAACACAATCTATTATCTGCCCCACAAAGTTAGGTATAATGCTTACATCTATTTCCCAAACATATTTATATTTTGCTTAATACAATTGCATTTTGAAAAAATAGAAATGTTTTTATTAAATGCTGTCATTTAAAAAAAACTGTTAAAATGACAGTTTTGAGAGTCTGAGTTGTATCATGTGGGTAGTCTGATTTATTGACTAATTCATTAAGATCAAGGTATAAATCTGTTTTTTGGTGTGGTGGGGGTTTTCCAGCTTAATAATATCCTGTTCTCAAAACCAGCTGTCTTTTGAAGTTGGAGAAGGTGTTGCAGGATGTGATATTTACTGCGTTATCACAGGTTCCACGTCATCCAAGCCATTTACCTGTATTTTCAACTCTGTTTCCTTTAGGCTTGTGAAAATCTTAGTTTCTAATGGTACAGATGTGAATCTGAAGAATGGCAGTGGCAAGGACAGGTAGGAGGGCGTGATTGAAACTGTGTTACTCAGCTGGAGCCCAGAGGGTTTTTGACCCAATCCTAAAGTTTTCTTTAGCTTCTTTTGGAAGTACCAGAAAGCAAGTGGGTCCCAAAGGAAAGGTGGTGAGAACAAACCTGGTCTGTTCACTGAGACTCTGATCCATCGGGGTGTTTGGGGGGATCAGTCGCACGATCTCTGCCTTCTCTAGCCCAGGAAAGACCTTAAGGTGGCATCCCATCTCTGCCTGCGCAGGCCTTGGCTACGCGCGCTGCCCCAGATCTGTGTTCCTCTCTCAGCTCTCCTGGCACCTCAGCCTTTCTCTGCTTACTGAGAACCCCTGGTGTTCTAAAGAAGTAGCCAAAGACACAGCATCAAAAACACAACCACAAAACTTTCCTGAAGTTTCCATCTGGACTGGCCGAGGGCAGTACAGGAAAAGTTCATGGAAAGAGTGTGATGCTTGTAAAGGAGAGGTAAAAGAATCTTTTTGAAAGACTGAAGTACTTGACAATTTGGATTTAATTAGTTCATCCAAACCAACCAACATTTATTGAATAACTCACACATGCCAGGCACTGTGCTTGGTGCTTGGGTAGAAGAGGGAGCAAAATGCAGAGGTCTGTTCTCAGAGCTCAGGGTCACAGCATGCACACAGACCACAGGTTAGGACACCACATGTGACTCTCATGGGATAGCGTAAAACACCAGTCATCTATAGTGGCTCTGCAGGGAACACCACTTTCTAAAGCCAGAAAGCTTACCTACTCTACTCTTGGACACAGTGCAGTAACAGATTTTAAATGACATTTAAAAACTTAAATCTGAAAAGTATTTTCCAAATAATTAGGCTAGTTGATGGCTTAGTTCCAAATTTAAAAAGTTTAAAAAGAATAATGACAATTTACAAAGAAAAAGGGACAGGGGAAAAAAAGGAAAGAAAGAAAGAAAATAGAGATAAAACTTAATTAACCAAAAGCGAAAGATTATTGAGAAATATAAGAGTGGCCTCTTAAATAAGAACTTGTATGATAACATAAAACAGTCTCTTGTAAATCTAAAACAAAACTAGAAATATGGAGGGAAAATAACAGGAAATTTACACATGAAATGGTGCATTTGTGTCTAATAGATTTGATAATTTCATTGAAATGGATACTTTATTGGCGAAACTTTAAACCACCAAAATCAACCCGTGAAGCAGAAAATCTGAAATAACCTACATCTATACAGAAAATTAGAAAATTTATGGAAGCATAGTTTCTGTGGATTAACTATCTCACCATTAGTTTCTAGGGACCATTAATAATCTTGAGCTTTTCCAGGGCTTAGAGGAAACTGCAAACCTACCTATTGCCAAAACCTGGTAGTAAGAGAAGGATACCTGTGTGTGTGTGTGTGTAGGCATTGACAAATCTCCTCCTTCAACTCAGAGCATTAGGAAGGTAAGGAAATGTAGTATTAGGAGATTTTCATGCTAATACTTCCCACCAGTAGGTTAAAGGTGACAATGAAAATAGCATCAACTCAGTGCCTTAAATGAGTAACCCAGTGTCTTATTTTTTAAAGTGAAGGATGCTTCCAGCCCCCCCCCCCCCCCCCCCCCCCCCCCCCCCCCCCCCCCCCCCCCCCCCCCACACCCCCCCACCCAACCCCCCCCCCCACCCCCCCCCACCCACACCCAACCCCCAAACCACAATAAGCACCCCCCCCGCCCCCCCCCCCCCCCGAATGTCTGGTACATGGCTGGTGGAAATGTATATCAATACTTAGCAGCATACAATAGGTTTGTGTGTTGTTTTTTTGAGGCAGGGTCTCACTGTGTTCCCACAATGGCCTTGAACTCGCAAACTAACTGCCTTGGAGTTGCTTGGATTACAGGTATATGACACTATGTGTAGCACCATACAAAGTTAGAGAAGATCCCAGACAATTAGCCAGTGTCATTCTTGGCATTGGCGAATTCCTTTTCTCAATGATAGTGACACCCATCAGAAAGGTGTAAAGAGCATAGGCAAAGCAGACATCTCGATGTCAAATCCTGATCCCGGTATGGATGCCGTGTGTGACCTTGGGCAGGTTACTTACTTTCTCTGAACCTCTATAAAATGGGGAGGAGAGAAGTACTTTATGATTGTATTGTTGTGAGCATTTATTGAATTTAATATATGAAAAGTGTAAAACAGCACTTGGAATATGGTAATGTTATGGCAAGATTCCAATAAATCAAATCACTGAGTCGATCTTAAAGCAGGAGATGGAAACTTTATTCACCAACTGTAGATCGGATCCATCAGCTGGTGGGCCAAGGGGTAGGCTGCAAGTCTACACCCTTCAAGCTCCTCTTGGGGTTTGAGTACACCTTTTATAGTCCAAAATCATTTTAATCAGAAGTGGCTGTTGTTCAAAACCATAAATAAACTTCATGAGATCTAAAATCATAAGCAAAAAAGGGAGTGGACCAAAATGTCCCTAGTTGAGTACAAGTTAAAGAATGGTCACTAACATCTGGACAATCAATCTCTGACAGGCTACAATGCCCAAGAAAAATGGGAACCAAAGAGAGAACACTTTTACATTGTATAAGAATTGGCATTTTGTGTTGCCAAACATGCTATGCTAAGCAACTATTGATGGGTACAGAGGCGGGGCTTTCCCATGGGAGAAGCATTTCTTATATGACATGGAATCTCAGGGAAAAATGGAGTCTCCTTGGTCATTGCCCTTATAGTCTGGCCCATAACAGTAAGTATAGGTTGTATTTTGTTAACTAATGATTGGACAGTGCTTTGGAAGTCTGATCATCTTGGTGAGATGTGAAATAAAGAGTGTGACTCCTGTCCTGCAGAACCCAAGAGAATCAACTTTCAAATACTTGGACTTAATGAGGAGGTTCAGTTATATGACCAACTATACAACAAAAATTTTAAATACCCGAAATTACTGCTTAATAAATATAATAGGAAAAATAAAGTATAATAAAATATTTCTTTTAAAAGCAAGATATTTGCTGGGTGTAATGGTGTATACCTATAATCCCAGCAACTCAAAGGCTGAGGTAAAAGGACAGCAACTTCAAGGCCAATCTCAAAATAAAAACATATAAAAAATAAAAAATATAGCAATAAATAAAAGGACTGAGATGTAGTTCAATGGTAAAGCATCCCTGGGTTCAATCCCCAGTATTAACCAAAAAAAATTTTTTTGAATGAAAAACTAAACCTATACAACTATATTGAGAGAGATAAAGACTTAAAAAAAATAGATACATATTTTAAGTTTTTCTGAATTAACATACAAATTGAATATAGCTTAAAATGGAGTTATTCCTGGAAACTTGTCAATAGATGATAACAGCTAATGTAACTTTGTTATAGAGGACTGTGGAAAGATTTGCCTTGGCAGTTATTAAAACGCCCTAAAACTTACAGTAATTAAAGTAGTATGGTACTGGAACCAATAATTGGAAAAGTAAATAGAATGGAATAGAAATCCTAAGATAGATCCCCGTAAGAACTTAGTATATGATAACAGAAGCAACACAAATCAATAAGAAAGGTTTTGGAAAAATAGGCTTTTTGAAGAAAAAAATATTAAGTTAGATCCTAGCCTTAAAGCATGTACCACAATTTCTTCCAGGTGAATGAAGTATTAAATGTAAAAAAAAAAAAAAAAAAAAAAAAAAAAAAATCATAAGCTACAAGGAAGGGGCATATGCTTATCTGATCTTGTAATATGAAAAGCAAAAGAATGAAGGAAATCAGTGGGAAAAAGATTGTGCATACATCACACACTTTAAAGAACTAAATTACAGACACAGTTAAGGGTAATCTGAGGGGATATTTGAATGTCATAGACATGTGATGAACATCTTCAGTGTGCAGAAGCCAGGCACACAGACACAACACTGAACAAACAAACATCTCTACACAGTAGGAAAAAAGAGCAATTTAAGTGAAAAGACAATTTTAAAGCAAAATCACTGTAAACAATTTGTATGAAAAATGTTTGACTTGGCTAGAATAAAAAATACCACCTGTAACATTTGTAATTGGAAAAGGTAGAGTAAATAGATGTTTTCAGAAAGTGTTGATAGAAGTGTAAATTGATATAACCTTTTTGGAAAGCTATTTGGAAATATGCATTAAAAGTAAGCCACAGTCATTGACATAGAGATTCTACTTAAGGAATTGTGCTCTCAGGAAGCAGTCACAAGTGCGAGTAAGATTCACATAGTGAGTAAGGGTACAGTGTGCCTGAACTTGACAGCTACACTTACAGCCAAATGCTTCTCCCATGTGTTGCAGTCTTATGCTTGCGTGCTACGCGGGACACCTGGATGTTGTGAAGTACCTCCGCAGACATGGGGCTTCCTGGGAGGCTAGAGACCTGGGCGGCTGCACAGCTTTGCACTGGGCTGCAGATGGAGGCCACTGCACTGTGATCGACTGGATGATAAAGGACGGCTGTGAGGTACAGGGCCTGCCTTATTAGCCACACAGGACTGTTAAGAACCTGAAATTCCATYCCACAGGGACCAGGAGAGTCAGGACCTTTGATTGGCCCAACTTAGAAATGATGGAGAAAGATCTCTGACCTATCAGTGAGAAAACTCCTGAAATCTTAGAAAAAAAGAGATCATTGTGGCATTGATTTGACAGTAAGGCTTCCGGTTATCTTGGATTTTGGTTTCCTCTAGGAAGAAGGAACGAGGCTGGAATCGGAGCTGGACCAGATGTGTCTACTCCTTTGTTCATTCCTTTGTTCATTTGCTTATTTGTCTCTTATGCAGCCTGTCGCCAAGGCTTCACTGAGCATCTTCCACCTACCAGATAGCATCTTAAATGCTGCAACACAAAGATGTTAAGAGCTCTCCMGGGCTCAGCACTTGTTGTTGCTTCTAAAACTAGATCATTTTTACTTAGTTTGCATTAATCATTATAGTTTCCAAAGGGCAAGTGGCCATGTGAAGAATGGAGGCTCTCAGCTGTCAATCTTTACCCAGGCCTGTTGATTTGCTTGTGTTTTCATGTCAGCAGGAGGTACAAATCTGATTTAGCAAATAGAAGTCATGTTGTATGAACTTCTATAGATATGTGAAAACGGCTAGTTATAATTAGATCAATTATGGTAACTGCTGATAGCTCTGGAAATTCTCCAAAGGCTTGGACTAAAGATTTCAAGGCATAGAAATAAAGAATGACGGACAAAATGCCATGCTAACTGATTACCAGGCAGCGCAGAGTCCTGAGAAATTAAGTTGATGACCTGGAAAATCAATCCAATTCGAGCAAAGTCACATCTCCCAGAAGATGGTAGTATATTTATTCTAGTTTGTTCCCAAAGTGTGACTGAAAGAAAGCAGGTCTTATGCTGTGSAATCTTACTGGTTCCTGCCACTGCTTTGGGAGGGTGGAGAAAAAGGCCCCCTTGAAGGGAAAAAAATTCACTTATTAAGATAAGCCCTTTTTCTTACCTTTCATGTTTCCTTATATTTTAGAGACATGCACAAGAGGTCAGAAGGCTTCGCCTCTGTGTGCTAGCAATAATACCATGTACTCCTGGTTTGGTTTATGATGAGCCGTGTTCTGCTCTGGACCCAGTAAGAGTCTGATTAAAGAAAATCAATCAATGTCAGATGATTGAAGAAAAGCATCCAGATGAGGGCAGGTTTCTGCTGTGAGCATCTCAATACTGGAGCTTTGGAAATGTAGGCTCTCTGGGCTTCAGACGAGCCCAATTCTCTGGGATAAATCCATCATCCAACAGAAGCCGTGTTGCAGATAATAAATCCATAAGTGTAGGAGTGTGTGCTGAAGATCTCCGTGTGGCTGGCTAGTGGGGGTGTCGACGGCATTTCTGTGTGCTTGCAGATGGCTCACCTGAGACTTCTGAAGACTGGAGCCCAGCAGTAGCCACCCCCTTCCCAAATGTGATGGTTTTATACTGAGAGTGAATGATTTACTTCAATAGGGAACGTTTCTACCTATGAGCCATGTGACTTCTGAGGTTTGGTTTGATCGTTTCTAAACCAGAAGTAGAAATACYTACTCCTGCTTAACCCTCGGAACCAAAAGAGAAATTGTGTGGGAGTGTGCTGGGAAGCGTGGGCGGCAGCTCGTGTCCTGATTTCAGTATTCGAATGGGATGAGCTCTGGCCTGTAGGTGGTTTGTTTGCACGAGGGAGAGCGCTGCTGCAGTAGGTCATCTCCTGCTGGGCCTGTTSGCCATTCTCCTCAGGCTTCACTAAAGCTGGGCCTTCCGAGTCATTCTTTCAGTCTGTGTGCGAGGGTCTGGGCTCGCCCGTGGCTTCAGCCCCTCTCTTCATGGGTTGGTTAGGGCTTCGATGGAATTATGAGCAGCAACATTTGCACTTTCTCATTCTACAGCATTTCTTTTAACACACTAAGTTGATAGAGTTCAGTGAGGAGCAGATGTTTGGGAAGTGACCAACCGTATTACTTCTTGGAGAGGCATTGGGTTAGTGGCTCTTCAGATTGGAGTTTGTGTAATGGGTCTGGTCACTGTGCTTACTGTAGTTCTCCTGCTTTGAACAGAAGTCTCGTTAAACACAAGGGTGTGTACATATCTTGTTCCAGAAAAGAACTGAAGCCCACCTACAAAGATGCATAAAAATAAGCATTGTTTAGATGGGTGAAGAAAGCTAGGCCAGGGAACGCAGTTCAGGGAGTTCCCATGGGCCAGGAGCAAGGTGCCAGATGAAGAGCTGCCCCAGCCTGGCTGCTGCTCCACCTCACAGAAGGAAGGTCCGCTTGCCCCGACTCCCCYGACTTAGTGGCAGCCTGTCGAGACTCGGTACAGGTTCACTGGACTGCATTCACCTGATTCTCACCTAGGTGCAGTGAGAAGATGCAGAAGAATCACATTAGGGGGGTCCCCCTCTCAGCAGACGCCCTAAGGTGATTCTGACACATCTATCTTATCACTGCACCTGGGCGAGGATTGGGCGAGAACCTGCACCCAGCCTGGACAGGCTGCCCGCTGAGTCGGGGGAGTCGGGCCAAGCGGACCCTCCTTCTGTGAGCTGGAGAAGCAGCCAGGCTGAGGCAGCTCTTCATCTGGCCCACAGGTGGATGTTGTGGACACTGGTTCAGGGTGGACGCCGCTCATGAGAGTCTCTGTGGTGTCGGGCAGCCARAAGGTGGCCTCGCTCCTCATTGAGGCTGGGGCTGATGTGAATGTGAGAGACAAAGATGGGAAGACGCCGCTCATGGTACGCCTTTCCCCCGGAGGCCAGAGCTTTTCTACGATGGGACCTTCTTGTGAGTTTGGTGGCTCATTCCCAGGCCCTGGGTTTGGTTGCCTGTGCTCCTGCCAGCCAGCCTTTTAATAAAGGTATGAGGGGGTCACTTTTTTTACTATGAGGTCTCATGAGATTGCTTTGGCTGACCTCAGACTCCTGGGCCCAGCGATCCTGCTGCACAGTTGGAACTATAGACACACACGGCTGTGCCTGGCACTGTGTTGTTTGTGTTGTCTTTCAACAAATCCTCCTTTAAGGATTGTCAGCCTTGGTCCCTAGGGCCACGGTAGGATCAAAACAGATCAAAACAGCTGGGTTCCTGTGCTGGCCTGGTCTTCCCAGGGTCGTTTCAGTGGGGAGAGGGAGGTGGCCCTTCCCTCATCCTAGCAGTTGTGATGCCCCAGATGGAGCAGGACACAGGCCTGGCAGGCAAAGCTGGTGACCCAGCCAGCTCTGCCCTCCTCAGCTGCGGGGCCCTGCATTTGCCCGGGCACCCCGTCCTGCGGCCTGCACCCCCGGGGAGGGGAGCGGGCCTCACGCAGCTGTCTTTCAGGTGGCTGTATTAAATAATCACGAGCAGTTGGTTGAGTTACTTCTTGACAAAGGGGCAGATGCAAGTGTGAAAAATGAGGTAAATAATCTCTATTGAAAGATTTTCCTTGGGGAAGAAAGAAACATATCAACATATGTATATAAATATATACTTATGTACATTCTAATATATATTTTCATTGTTTCCTCTTTCAGTTTGGCAAAGGGGTCCTAGAAATGGCCAGAGTGTTTGACAGACAGGTGGGCATGCCCTTCTGCCCAGCAAGGCTAATTTTGTAGTGCTTTCCAAATCACAAAACCCACCAAAAGTTGGGAGGACATTCACTTGCTTGTCTTGTTTTTCTAGAATGTAGTCTCCTTATTAGAAGAAAGGAAAAAAAAGCTGCCTCGGAAGTCCTGCGTCCACTGATCAGAGCACCAGCTGCCTGAGAAATTGAGGCAAAATAAAACAAAAAGTGACTGTTGAACTGGACGTGAGATTCTGCGTCCTTGAGGGCTGTATATTTATTTATTTAGTTGAAGACTCACAGTATTTTTTTTTGTAACAGACAGCTATTCCCACATTGAAATACATCTTTTTACCTAAGCACGCGCACATGTGTTCTCATCATTGGGCGTCTCTAGAGCAGGACTGTTTTCTTGCACTTGTGCTTTGGAGTTAGACGTGAAACAAAATATTTATGCACTGGCGCTACATAAACATGCACGGGGCCTCCTGGCTTCTGGCCTGCAGCTGTCCTCTGAGCCACTGCAGGCCCCTGGTGTGCTCTCCCTCATGTGTTTTCTGTTATCCGCCCCCCACCCCCCTGGGCCGCACTGCCAGGCTGCGTCCCCCTGTGCAGTGGTGCTCCTCCTTAGAGTCCAGGAGTCTTCTCTTCGGCTCTTGGCCTCACATCAAAGCTCGAGGTGCTTATCTCAAGACTCTGGTCCTGTCCTGCTCATGGTGAATGGTCCAGGTCAGTCTTTGCAGAATGGACCTCTCTGTGCGTGTGTGTGTGTGCACACGCTGAAGCTCTGATAAGGAAAGCCCCAGCTGCCGGATCTGATGACTTTGCTGAAATGTAGAGCAGTGTACTGAATTTTGTCTTGAAAGCAGAAAGCTTTTGAAGCTGAGGGCGCAGTTTGTAGACAGTTGGGGTGACTGCAAAAGGACAAACTGGAGCTTAAGACAAACTCGGTGGAGCTTTCACTCGGCAAAGATGTTAGATGGCCTACCATATGCATTTCTCCTCCTCAGAGACAAACTAGTTAACTTGGCCTCTGAGTAGACCAGCTGCAAAGGTCTGCACAGGACTGAGATTTTTCTGGATGATGGAGAGACCAGTTAAAAGGTCATTAGAGCTCCAAAACTTTTTTAAAATTTATTTTTTATTAGCTACACAGGACAGTACAGTGATCTTGACAATTCATACACTTGAATCAAATTGGGGTATAATTTCTCATTTTTCTGATTGTGCAGGTTGCAGAATCACATTGGTCATACAGTCACCTATACACATACAGCAATAATAAGTGTATTTGATTCTGCCCTTCCAAAACTTTTGAGAAGGGGCATAGAGAAAACACATGATTAATTTTATTGATGCTAGCAATTTTCAGCTCTGTTCCATATAGTTTATGGAACATTCACCTTAAGTTGATTCATTGGCATTTTACCTTTTGTACAAATGCATCTCTCTCTATATTTGCTAGATTTGATTTTAAAACCTAAAAATTAGAGCATCTTCACACTTTATAAAGCCTTCCTCTCCCTTTTCCAGGGTCAGTGTCAACGTCCCCCTTGATTCCATGCTTTGGTCTGTTGTAGGTTGCGTTTGCTAACCAGGCATGCTCGGCACATTCCTTCTGGCTGACACCAAGCTTGGCAATGTCTTGTACCCTCTGGGCTAGATTTCGAACCATCCTCACACCAATGAGACTGTCTCGTTGGTTATGGAGAGCTGTTGGGTTCTATGAGCTTATGTGCTATGTCTATTTGCTCTTTTCTTTTTGCTTAATGATATTTGAAGGTGGTTAATAGCCTGTTTTAATTTTYCTTAGGAGCAACTCATGGTTTTATTCTTTTTCTATTTTATAAATTCATTTCTTCTGTTTTTTGTTTTGTTGTTATCAGGGATTAAATCCAGGGGCTCTTAACCACCGAGTCACATCCCTAGCCCTTTTWATATTTTATTTAGAGACAGGGCCTCATTGAGTTACTTAGGACCTCACTAAGTTGCTGAAGCTGGCTTTGAACTAGCGATCCTCCTGCCTCTGCTTTCCGAGYTGCTGGAATAACAGGTGTGTGCCATTGTGTCTGTTCATAACAAGCATTCTGCAGTTCTGGCATTTGTGATTTGCTACTGTGTTGGTGCTGGGGATGGGACCCAGGGCCTTGTGTGTGGTGGGCCAGCACTCTACCCCTGAGCTATATTTCCACCTTCTTCTGTTCCCTTCACCCCTAGGAGGCTTATTTTGTTGTCCCTTTTATAACTTTTTTGTTAGACATTAAGTTCATTCATTTTCATCTTTTTTTGCTTAGTAATACATATTTAAGGTCTATGAATTTTCCCCTAAGCACTGTTTGTTTTATTACTGTGAGAATTTTTTTTTTCTAAGCCTTCTTGATCCAAAGATTCAATTGTGAGTGTTTTAGTCGGCTTTTGTGAAGCTGTGACCAAAAGAAATCTGGAAAGAACCACTTTGAGGAGAAAAAGTTTATTTTGGCTCATGGCTTTAGAGGTTCAGCCTATGGCTGGCCAATTCTATAGCTCTGGGGCCTGAGGGGAGCAGAAAATGGTGGCAGAAGGGTGTGGCAGACAAAGCGGCTCAGGGAATGACAACCAGGAAGCAGGGAGAGCTCTGCTCTCCAGAGACAAAACAAACCCCAAAGTCACGCCCCCAGGGACCCTCCTCCTCCAGCCACACCCCACCTGCCTACAGTTGCCACCCAGTTAATCCCTATCAGTGGATTAATCCACCATTAGGTTATGGCTTTCATAATCTAATTATTTCACCTTAACATTCTTGCATTGTCTCACACATGTGCTTTTGGAAGACTCCGCATATCTAAACCATTAGAGAGTACTTACTAAATACAAGTTTCCTGGGTCCATCTTGGGCTCACTGGATTGGAATGTCCCAGGAAAGGGACACCCACAATGGTGTGGGTGAACAGGCACCATTCTCCTATGGGTAAGGGACCTTAACACGTATCACAGATGAGTTCTTATAGTGCAAGGATTTTTGAGAAACATACCCAGACCGTGTGCTATTTCAAATGTTCTAATTCGTTTTCTTCTAGATAATCTGTAATACACTTTTGACTAAACAATCATTACATTTCTAGAACACAGCATTATTTTTTTTTTTTTTTTTTGAGGATTTCTTTCTCCCTTTCTCCCCCCGAGGCACTTGGAATAAAGTTCTATTCTGTGTGTTTGGAGTATCCCATCCCATAAACTTATTCCCTAGATTTAGGGTCATCCTTGTACTTATATTGTGTCTAGTTTGTCGTGAGTGGAGAGTGGTAAGAATAAAGACCTTTTGTTCTTGTTACCATTTTGAATGTGTTTTCTGCAGTTTTTCTTTATGAAGTTGGGTGCTATTTTTATAATTTGTAAGTATTTATCCATCACATTTAGATTTTCATTGCCTGTTTGGTATGTCTCTACTGCTACTTTTTGAATTTATCTCTTACCCGAATAAGGCAAGTTTTAAAATGTTCTTCGATGGGTTATGAATTAATGTTATTCAAATAATCAGTTCCCCCCCCCCCCACTTATGAATGGTGTGGGTGAACAGGCACCATTCTCCTCATCTGCCCAGTCCCTGATGATTGGCAGATGCACCCCTTGCTTATCACCCATCCCACCTACTAGCTGTTCTTAATTTCTTGTGCATTGCTCCAAAATGTCTTTATGCACTTATAAACAAATGAGAATATAGATACATTTTTTTCTACTTGAGTTCTTCCCTCCATTTTCATAATATCCTCAATAACAAACAAGACACTCTTTATATTTACCTGTTTATCATTTATTGAATATAATATTCTTAACAATGACTTTTTATTGAAATAGCAAGTTGTGTTTACCTGTAGATCCCCAATATGAGAAACGTTTACAAAAACAACAGAATGTAACATAAAAAGGTATGTGAACAAATTAGCAAACCCCAAAGCATTATAAATGGTTGAAGCACTACAGAATGACTGTGCTGGTTGATGTAGCTGTAACTCTAATCTGTACTGTGCTAAACAGCCTGTGGTCAAGTTAAAGAATGGCCTTTCAGCTGCCACACGCCTTCAGACACAGGCTTCCTGACCTCCTGCCAATTTGACCCTATAGAAGGAGCTAAGGAGCCGCTAGTTCTGCTCCCACCTGTCCTGCCTTGGAACCTTAGGGGTCCTTGTCTTTCTAACTTGTTTTTCCTGTGGCTGCCCTATGAAGGGACCTGCTTATGACTGTGAACACACACAAGGGATTCTGCTTTTTTGAAAACTAAAATGATCACATGATATTTATTCTTTTGTTTGAATTTAAATATGCTAAATTGACTAAAAATTTTTCTTTGAGAGTTACAGAGAACATACAACATACTTCTTGAAGATGATGTGGAAAATCCGGGTGAGTTACAGGGCCTTCAGCCTGGGGAAACGGAAGCAGTGTGAGAAGTCCTTTGTTCAATCTTTTGGCTGTCACTCTCCATTACCAAGGATTTTAACAGGCTCTATGCAGTATTTCTTTTAGTTTTTCTCCTATGAAACAGGTTTATAATGACTGGATTTGAAGCTTCCAGTACCGTCCCAGAAGTAAAAGGGGGGTTTCCTCTACAAGAGGCAGGGAAGAGGCACATGCTCATGTGGGTAAATGGCTTGTGGAAATGATCTTCACTGTACAGAAATGGTTCTGAGCATGCGGCTCACAAATCTTAGTGTTATGTATTTCACTATTGGAATTTTCAGACAAGTTTAAAAGTAATACCTGTTGATGGGAACTTTGGAGTGACTCAGAGAATTTTGCATGCATAGCTAAATTGATTTTCTATGGCCAACTGCCCCTTCTCATTAGAACAAGGCATGGGGCGGGAGGTCACTGTGATTGATGTGCTTGCAGGAGGGACTCTGCAGGGGTCTTGGGTGCTGGCGGGGGTTGCTCTGAGCTGTGATTCTGGAGAATGTTGGGCTTTGGATGTCCAGTAGGTGGACCCCATGGGGCTGCCATACACTGCAACAGATGCCACTCAGGCTGATCTGAAGTAGTGACTTCACTGCTGGGATTGCAGGGCCCTTGACACTGAGTTTGGCCCAAGTTAGGCACTTGTCTGGTGACAAGGAAAGGCAAACCGATTTGAGCTTCTGGCTTACTGTGTCCAGGTGAGAGGATGCTGATGACACATGGGGAGTAACTGGCAGCATGGGTATGGAGGAGAGAAGATGATACCTGCAGTGTCCCCCAGAGTCAGTCACTGTGTGTGTGAGACTCTAGCCTAAGTGACTTCTGGGAGGGCTGGTGGAACATTCATCTGGGTCACTTGCATGTGGCTAGAGCCATTGTGAGAGCAGTGAGGAGGGTTCTGCAGAGTAAGTCTGCTCTGGACTCTAGCAAAGCTKAAGAATGAAATGGGTCTCACTAGGAGAGTCTGCAAGAGATCAGGGTGTATTAGGACAGCCTTCCCCATCATTGGGGTCCCCTTGGCTGGAGGAGGCGCAGGCATGACAGTGGGGCTCAGTACCATGGGGGATCTCTAATCTCTGGTGCAGATCAGAGTCTTAGCAATTTTAGGGAATGTGCTGATTTGATAGAGAACAAAGCCTGTAGTTTTAGCCTGAGAATTCTGGATGAAGTTAAAAAGGCATAATAATGTCCCCTTGGAGACTAGTCARGAATATTTATTCCCATATAGTTTAATTTGTTGCTTTGCGGTSTCTCTGGTGTCGTCTATATGTGTACACTGGGGAAGTCCCACCGGGACAAGGGACCTGCGTGTGAACATGTTGACAATGGACAGCACTAGGCGTTGTTTCTCTGGTTCAATGTGTTGGGAAAACGAGAACATTCTAGCAGATAAATGGAATGCCTGGAAGGTTGGCCATGCACCTCTCCGTGGAGTGGGGCCCTGTAACCTGCAGCTGTGGCTGGATCCAGGAAGAAAGGCGAGTGGCCTTGCAGCCTGCTCTTGAGTTTAGGCACTGAACTTTCTCAGTAATGGTTTATAAAACCCAAAACAACTGTGCCATTTGTCCCTATGAAGTAGTTTAAAGAATAGTCATATTGCCACTAAAATAGAAGTACTAATTTTTGTYCCCATTGTTTATAAAAAGTGAGAGAGAACCCCTTCCCACCAAGAAAAAACAACCCTAGTTATTGGTTCCTAAGTTACATTAAAATGGAAGTTATTGCTAAATATGCTTTATTTGATAAATATTGAATTTTGARAGTATTCCTTTAATATTATCTGTGTATTATAAGGCATGATTAGGCTTAAATATATTCAGAAATAATTTGCATGGCTCTATAAAAGCAATTAGTATTTAGAGATAAAATTGTGTCATCAGCCATAACCACAAAGTGGCCATTGATGACATGGCAGATGATCACAGTTTTAACCTCCTTGAATACCAAACTCTTCCTGGTTCTCTGGAACAAAAGCACAGGAATTACAGTTCAGAAAGAACAAAAACGGAAAAGGCAGTTCCTACCCTCCCTGTTCCGTGCAGGAGGAGGAGGGTGARAGTGCCGGAGCTGAGGCGTGGGCGAGAAGGCGGCAACGTCCACACCAGGAAATTCTGTAAACTTTTCAAGAGTGTGTGTTTTGGCCTTGACACAATTACTAAATGTAACATCAGTTAGTTACAATAATTCTGTATGTATCTCATCCACAGCAATATCATCTAACATGGCTTTACTTTTWAAAGAAAATAATTGCATCTGTTTATAAAAACATATGCATGCTGCAAGAGTTGGAATGTCTTTGAGTTGGGTTACCTTTTGTGTGTTTGTGACATAGATTTATTTATTCATAGTCATGAATAATACCACGTTGCCTAGATATATGGGGGGAACATTGGCAAAGTTAAATGTAGTTTCTTTTTCTGGAAGGCAAACCAAGATTCCTGGTATGTATTTTTCTTTCTGCTTCAAGGCATAGGAAAACCATTGAAATGACCCTAAAAGAAGTCTCATCATGAAACACTCAGTGAATTACGGAACTGCTGTCAATTGCCTTCTAATGTGAAAACTAGTCATTCATGATCTCACAGAAGACARTGAGGGCCAGAATGGCATTTTGCCTTATCTGAGTATTTTTGTATTTTTCATGCTATTAGATCCAGGCATCTTAAACATCCTAGGAAATGAGACACTGGGAGAGTGAAATGTTTGGAGGGGCTGCTTGCCCCAGCTGGCCTTTGGTGAAAATACGGGGTTAGGAAATTGGTTTCCTGATCATACCYTGTGATGCTCAACAGGTAGGTGCCAATGTTTAAGATTCCAGCTGCCTAGCTGAGAAAATAGGGTGCCTCGGAGCGAACTGCATGGTCACTGGTGGTTCTTTGTCTGCTGTCCTTATTAATATGTAGTGGACAATCTGTGCCAATGAGCAAGGCATTCCATTTAGTAGTTGTTTCTGCTTAATTTTTAATAAGTTGAACCTTGCAGTAAAAGGAGATTTTTATCTAAAGAATTGATTGACTAGATCTGGTTACTAGTTCACATCTGAAAAGAATTATCGTCCCATGGAAAGCCTCATCTATCTGTCTGAACACAGGGTCATCATATTACAGTCGAGAAGACAAGGTGGTAATTTGCTTAGCTCCAAACAGCACAGGGAGATGGTGGTTTGCAGTGCTGGGGCGGTGGCTTTCTTGTAGAAACACCACCGATCCCAATCTAAATAATGTGCTGATGCCAGAACTGCATAAAGAGCAGCCAGAGAAAGAAGTTCTTGATGTTTCTATAAAGAAAACCTTGAGCAATCCTGCAGACTTCTTTCTTGTTTGTTTTCCAAAGGGGCCCATGGCAGCTCAGCTCAAGGTCAAGTTCCTGCCTGGCCTAGTGTTCCAGGCTCTGTCCTGGTGTGGCCACATCTCAAAATTCCTGTCTGCAACCCAGGTTCTCTCCAAAGCTTTCTGGCCCCAAACCAGGTCATTCACTGCTCCAAAGTCCAGCTGCTAGGGGCTTGTCAGCGTGTAGGCACCGAGGGCCTCACTGAAGGCCAAGTGCAGCCCTGGCCTGCGGGTTTCAGAACATCACTCGAGGTTCTACCAGGGGTCCCGAGTTGTGTCTGGTACCATTAACACAGTCGTGGGGAATTAGCAACTGCTTTCTAATAAAGCCTGATCAGAAAGTAAACATCTGGTCCAGAATCCCATCAAGCAGGATATTTCAAGTTCACTAAAATATTAAAAGCACAACAAGCCTTCCTTCCATGGAAAACTCAGTGATGGTAAAAATGCCTAGTACAGTGCACTGCACTGCAATAAACATTCTGCATAAATTAATAATTTACAAGTACCTGAGCGAATACACAGAGCACCATAGCACAGCACCGACGGCAGTAGCTCAAAGTTCTTGAAATAATGATGTTTTAAACATATTAAAAAAAAATTCTAAAAGTTGGTACAAAAAGTCTCTCCACATGGAGTTGAAAGATAGTGCAAACTTCTGTCTTCACTGTTGAACGAAGGTGTCAGCTTGCTCCTCACTGAGGATAGGCGCTGTGGGTGGGTCTGGGCACGTGGTGTGGATACTTAGGAGCAGGTCTGAATTAAAAGCAGTGAAGAGGAGAGAGCAAAGTTGTAGTTAGAGGTCTTGAACAGTTTCTGCAGACATGGAAATGTGGGGTGGGAGAAGTCTTTTCCTACACTCCTAGGCCAGATCCCATCTGGAGGTCTGGAGACACTCTTGCTTTGGGCAGGAGTGTCAGATCCCATCAGGGACTTTTCTAGGGCTTCAGAATTCCCAGTGGTTTACAACAGAAGCCACCAGAGGAGCCCTCTCCAATGATACCCCTCTCATGCTCCAGTTGATTCTGGAACAGCACCGTCCAACAGAAAAAAAAAAAAAAAGGGTGTGAGGTACTTAGGTAATGTTTTCTAGTAGCCACACGAAAAAAGCAAAGAAATAGATTAAACTAATTTTAATAATAAATTTCATTTAACTCATATGTAGAGTATCATTTCAAAACAGGTCATAAAGTTGGGAGAATTGGCATTTTAGAGGAACTAAGACTTCAACATTCAGCATGTGTTTACACTGACAGCAGAGTTTGACTTTTGACCAGTCACAAATGCCCAGTGGCTACTGGGTTGAACAGAGYAGCAGATAACCAGAGCAAAAGGAGGGCACATGGGATCCCTCCAAAATTAATGTGCAGGGTTGGGGTTGTGGCTCAGTGGAAGAGCGGTTGCCTGCATGTGAGAGGCACTGGGTTCAATTCTCAGCACCACATATAAATAAAAGGTCCATTGACAACTAAAAATTTTTTAAAAACGATGTGCAGGACAAGATTAAATAGGCTTGCCTTGCTCTCAGTGACAATAGAGGCAAGACAGTCCATTGCTTGAGGGCATTTAAATGAGGAGCCTTTCCTTCATCAAGTCCACGTAAAGTAGTATATTTTACTTTAAACAGAATAAGGAAAGTAACTTTAAGATCAACATATAAACCACAATGAAATAACTAGGATGCTATGCAATCTTCCCCTGTTTCTGCAGTTGGGAATTGTACTGACCCTTTGACCGGCTTTATCTCTGAGATTTATTAGGCAGCTATTTCTTCCACAGGCCAAAAATTCTTCCCAAGAGCTGTAATGAAATCACTAGTGTGTCCTCCCCTCTGGAGAGAGGAATTAACTGAGCACAGGGCCCAGCCAACAGTACCATTGGTTCTTTTGAGCTTGAAAAGCAAGCGTCCTGCCAAGGGGCACACAGAGGAGCCCTGGGCCTCTTTGTGCTGGTCAGCGTTGGACAACTTGCCAGGGGCTGGGGGAGCCACACTGCAGTGTTTGACCAKTTCCTTGGTGTAAATGCGCCCACTGTGGCTGATTCCAAGCTACCATCATCTTGTCACCAAACATGGAAGAGCTACGAGGGACCACCATGTCGTCAGATGTCTGCAACCCCAGTGGCGCAATTAGAGCAAAGGCAGTAAAAAAAGAAGTGGAAGGGATGTTCTCAGAGTTCACTGCCTGTGCTTTCCCTTGAGTTTATGCAAACATTCAACGGTAAGTATATGTAATGCTGAACAGTGACCTGGTTTAACACCTACCTTGCAAAATTTCAGCACATTTAATAGCCGTCACCAACCAGCTTGAGCCAGCTCCAAGTGTTGAGGTCCCTGGCCCTCGCTGAAAGTGCCCAGGCGATGCCCGCTTTGGTGACTCATGCTGACTGCTGCCTACCATTCCCAGTTGGTTGGACGACAGGAAGCATGGCCTTGCCCACCACACTTGTCCTGCCTGAGTTGCTTTAGCTGCCTTCCCCCGTTTGAGGGAGGGAGAGAGACCCCCACCTGGTAGGTGCAGGGCGGAGCCCTGGCTCCTGCTGTCCTGGGTTTCTGGAGGCACTGGTGAGCCGAGTTGTCCTGCTCAGAGGATCAGCAGGCAGAGGCTTCTGAGGAGGGTTGGGCTTCCGAATGCCCTGCAATAAACGCAAGATGACATGGGGTCCCTCAGCTCCATGACCAGACATGGGCTTCAGGAAAGTGGGTTTTGAGTGGGTTTTGGCAAGTTGCTGTGTGGGGGTTTCATTTGTGGACTACAATCCTCTCACCTTTGCTGGTCTTCTCACCAGAATTTTCTCTTAACATTTAAAAGATGACTCGTGTAGTTACAAACATTCAAACATGGGTCCTCTGCTCCCGTGGTACTCACAAGCCATGGGCATTAGTTGACGTTGGGGTTCTCTGCCAGTGCTCCCCAGGGGATGCACACTTGCCTGTGCCTTCAGGTGGCTCTTTGATTTATAAAAGCCCCAAAGGAGAAGCTGGTGGAAGTCTTTGAGGCATCTCACTGATCCCTTCATGGCTTCAGAATGGCATCATAGGACTGGCTCTGCTCTGGCTGGGCTGAGTGAGGATGACCCTCTTTGCCCCTCCACACAAGCTCAGTACTCCACGTCCCAGTCGGGACTGCGTGGTGCCATGGCCTGGAGTTCTTCCACCCACATACTTTTGGTGGTGGTCAGAAAACTGATGTAGTAGTTTGAGGGACAAGTAAAGCTCTCTGAGGAAGCTGAGGGGAGGTAAGCCTTGACCAGGGGCTGGTGCCTTCAGCTAGAGGTGGCAGGCAGAGCATGAACGTGGGGGCTGTCTTACAGGGGGTTTTAGCTGAAGACCAGTGCATCTGGGATTTGTGCAAATCCCTCAACCTCTGAATCGGAATTTCTTCCTCTGGAAAATGGGAGGAAACAAGACCTATTGCAGAGCATAGTTGTGAGGACTGAATCATAATGCATAGGAAGTTCTCAACACAAGGACAGTACTGTCAGCATTCCCTCATGCCACAACTTTTAAACAGCTTAATGGAAATATGAGAAGAGCAATGGAAAAAGTATAACAGCAAAACCTCAAGTCGTGTCTTTTCATGGGGCTCCACCCTTGGCCACCCCCGGGAGGGGGTGGGTCAGTAAGTGCCATATGCAACTCCCCCCTGGGGTCCAGGGAACTGAGAGATATCAAGGTAGAGTCTGCTTTGGGCCACTCATGAATGCATAGAAGTTCTATAGGAAATGGTGCTGGGGCCTTCAGAGAGAGAGAGAGAACAGTCTAACAAAAAGATCTAGTGCTCTGGGAAGTTGGGGCTGGAGGATGGGTTGATCCCAGTCTGGGCAACGTGGAAGACACTGTCTCGAAAAACAAAATCCAAAATTATGGCATTTGCAGGTAAATGGATGGAGTTGAAGAATATCATGTTAAGTGAATTAAGTCAATCCCCTCAAACCAAAGGCTAAATGTTTTCTCTGATAAGTGGATGCTGATCCATAATGAAAGGGGGCATGGGAGGAATGGAGGAACTTTGAATTGAACAGAGGTCAGTGAGAGGAGGGGAAGGGACATGGGGGTAGGAAAGATGGTGGAATGAGATGGACATCATTACCCTAGGTATGTGTGCATGAATGGCATGTGCAACCAGAGAAAATGAAAGTTGTGGTCCATTTTTGCACAATGAATCGAAATGCATCTGCTGGCATATATAACTAGTTAGAACAATTTAAAAAACTAACCAAACAAAAAACCCACCCCAATCCAAATAACTATCACAGGACTCAGTATTTCATCATCTAGGAACTCTAAAATGACTTGGAAAGATGGCAAGATGATGACGGTTCAGAGGTACTCAGCTCTAACCTGCTGTCCCATGAGATCAAACCAAATCAACAGGTGTGCAGATGCGTATTGAGGTAGTGGTGGGGGGTTCATAGGAACCCTCTTTGCCCCTCCACACAAGCTCAGAACTCCACGTGCCAGTCTGGACTGCTYGGTGCCATGGCCTGGAGTTCTTCCACCCCCATACTTTTGGTAGAATATCTGTAGGTGATTCCCCAAATACTGGATTTTAGAAGAGAGTACACTGACACCGGGATGGGCCCTGTGCTGGGAGGAAGACACCCTTCAGCAGGATGAAGACAGGCCAGGACAACAGAGTTTGCCACCTGAGAGCTGCACCGTGGGCTGTTGCAGGAGAAGAGGTCCCCAGCGTTTCCACCAAGTTCATCTGGTGCTGTAACGGGGAGCCATCTTCAGAAGGTCTCATGGAATGGACTTAACTGCTTGGGAGGTAAGAAGTCCCTGTATTTTTTTTTTTTTTTTACATATCTTGGACCTAACAGCCTCCTCTTTTCACTGGCTCTGTGGTTGCCAACACTGAGAGTCAGTTTAGGTCCAGGGAAGTGACTGTGATAAAAATCTTTGGAGAATTCTAGACAGTGGGAATTGTGGCCCATGAGGTACAGGGGAGCAGAAGGCATTTCCATTTAAAATTGGTGAGTTGGCCTCCGTGAAACCAGGTGTGTTAAGATTCACAAAGGGGTTGGGTCTGGGAGCACTGTGGCTAGGATTGACAGTCTTGGTTCCCACGACATCCCACCCTGGTGCAGATCCCACTGATTTGGTCACTTCTTCCATGCTCAGAAGCATTCGGAGGACACACTGCAATGGCTTGGACATGAGTTACGCCCTGAGCACACTGAGTCTTTGAGTCAAGGGTGTGCAAATCCCATCAGTCTACAGGCTTGGTGTGTGAGAGGGGCTAGCAGGAGGCTCCTACTGTCACCAAGCCCCCCATCCCTGGGTACGAAGACAAAAAAAGCCTTGAGAGTGGATTTAGCCCTTTTATGGATAACCTTACTTTAGCCCCGGGAAGGGCAAGAAGGGGGAGCTCACCTACAGACCCCCGACTGGTTTGGACAGTGTAGGCTGGAACTGAGAAGGAGCGTTCCCCACTGCGACAGCCTGACCCGCCTCCATACCTGGCGGATTCCAAATTGAGGTCCCAATTTGGAATCTACATTCCAAAGGGTCTACATTTTAAATACCTCAGCAAGGAAAAATATTTGACTTTCTTTTGTTTTCCTTTACTATTCTTTTCTTTCATACTTTAATTCTATATACTTTTAAAATTCTTTCTCTTCTGTCCTTCCCCCTTTTCAAAAAAAATATTTTCATTAATGCCTAACAGTTTAGTCTGTTCTACATTATTGCTGCCCTTCCCTCACTATGTTAGTGGTGGTATAGATGTTGTTTTTAAGAGGTTTTTATTGTTCATTTTAAGTTGTTGCTGCTGGTGGTTTTATCCTCTCAAAGTGGGGCTGAGGATTGAACCAAGTACTTTAAAAATGTTGGTAAGTGCTTGATGCTGAGCTATACCCCAGCCTAGTTGAAAGCAATTGAAACTCACTCTATCCAAGACCTTGTCCTGCTCAAACCTTGGTGAATATCTCAACTTAAAAAAGGGGTGTGAGACTTCAGTTGCTGTCCCAACCCCAAAGTAGGGCAATCCTGAAGATCCACTACAGGACCATTCACCCCCTTAGAAATAACACAACTGTCATGCCACCTCACTCAGGACAGGCCCTCACCTAGGMTGCTCCCAGACCCTAGCAGACAGCACAGTGCTGACAAATCTGGAGGTGTAACTAAGAGTGTACCCACTAGACACCACTGTCTGTGTCATACCTGCGTGAACCAGCAGCGGGACCCCACTCACTGGAGTCCAGCAGAGAAAGGTGGTCCCTCAGGTTCTGACACAGTACCACAGTCAAAATTCACCTAAGCTTGCCTAAAAAGCCACAGGCAACCTACAAAAACCTACAATGCAAAGTCCCTTTGGAATTAAGCTCAACACTGCACAATAAGCCAACAGCCCAGGGCACATCAAGAAAAAGCTGCTGAGAGCCTCCCATAATAGTGACACTTCCATCCTACCAGACTTGCAAAACTCAGCAACGAAACACAAAAACCAGGAAAAAACAAGGCAACACGGCTCCTTTCAAATCCATAACTCCTTAGTAACTGAACATGGATATTGAGGTGGATGTAATGCCAAAGAATTAAAAAATTGTTAAAATGATCAATGAATTTAAAGAAGCTATGAATAAACAGCTGGAGGGAACTAAGGAAGACAATGGATATGAAGAGCAATTCAATAGATTCTGACAAAGAGCCAGACAGACAGACATCTTGGAAATGAAAAGTCCAATAAGTMGAACAAAAAATTCAGTTGAAAGCTCACTGATAGTCTTTCTTCTGTTGACTAGTCTATCAGGACTTGAAGACAAGGTGGATGAGCAAGCACTTTGAGACAGTAATAAAGTATGAACAGAACACTCAAGATCTCTAGGACAGCATTAAAAGACTGAACTCAACCCATGAGTTTAGAGGAGAAAGTGGAACTACAGGGGAATGTCATCAAAACCTCAGTGAAATAATGACGAAACATTTCCCAGATCTTGGGAATGATATGGACATCCAGGTGCTGTGGTCATTCAGAACCACCAATAGACATGACCAGAAAAGCACCTCTCCGTGACATATAATAAGCTGCCAAAAATATAGAATGACAAAACAGAATATCAAAGACTACAAGAGTGAAGCTTCAATTCATGTATAAAAGCAGAACTATCAGAATAACACTTATCTCAGCAGAAACTCTAAAGGCCAGGAGGGCATGGAATGGTGTATTTCAAGATCTGGAATAAAACAACTGTCAACCTAGACTCCTATCTCTAGTAAAGTTACACTTCAAAAGGGAAGAAGAAATAGAGACCTTTCAACATGAGCATTTGACTGAGAGAACTGTGACCACTAAACCAGAATTGCAGAAGATACTCAAAAGAAGATAGACACACATAAGGGCGTGGAAAATCTCACTAGAAGAATAATTAAGCAAGTGAGGAATAGGGAAGACAGGGCTGAGGTTGTGGCTTAGTGGTAGAGTGCTTACCTAGCACATGTGAGGCCCTGGGTTCAATCCTCAGCATCACATAATAAACAACACCCCCCCACTAAGACAAATAAGAGAAACAATTCTCAAAACAACAAAAATAAAAACAATGAAATGGCAGGATTTTGTAATTTCTTTAAGAACCCTGAATGTAATGGTCTCAATTCTCCAATTAAAAGATGCCGAACAGTTGGTTGG